TAACCGACTCTCACATTGCCATAAATGAAATTATTGTCAATAATTTGAATTTTTGAATGACTCTTTATTACTTCATAATACTTAGGAACCCATACATCAAATTTTGAGACCCAAATCCCATGGGAAATTTACCCACGCTTCTCCTGAAAAATTGGGTTATTTCATATACAATACAATACATCTCTATTTTCCTGGTATTATATGTTTCTATTTTTTATAATAAATATTTTGGGAGGACTCTTTATTACTTCATAATACGAGGCACCCATGCCCCAAATATGCACCAAATTTTGAGACCCTGGCCCCATGAGAAATTAATTCATGCTTCAACCAAAAATTTGTGATTTTCTGCGAATTTTCTCCTATTTTCAATAGGTCAACATTAATCTTATAGTTAGTTTTTAAACATTTTAGGAGGACATTAATACGTTCTTAATACTAGGAACCCATACATTTAATATGTACCAAATGTTTAGACCTGAACCCCATGGGAAATTCACGTTTGCTTTGATCATATACTTTTGATTTTTGTCGTTTAGAGCACCATATCATTGTTGTGTGATGTGCAATTTGTAATAAATTGTATTACACGTTGTCTTAATTATCCTGTTTGGCCTTACATACGTTACAATCGTGAAAGATGGTTATATAGTACTTTAAGGTAATTCGTTATTTTCAGTTTTAATGGCTTCCTAATTGGAGCCCCGTGTTTTTTCAGGAACACATAACTCATTCCATTCAGATGCACAAACAGTGTATAAGTATAGCACATAGTACATTATAGAAAATTACTAACCATCAACTAATAATCTAAATACATATTTGAACTCAGTGTAAAATTGAAAGAGCTGACCAAGTATGGAATGAGTTCCAGAAATAACATTGTACTCCACTTAAAATTTCTGAACATACAGAATTACCTTAAGTGTTTCTCATTGCTCTTCCTATCTTCTACATTGTGTACTTTCAGGGCATGAACATTTTCAGAGAAATGACAAAGCTCAGTGGAAGCTCGAATCCCTTGAAGATTTGGTACAGGCTTACTGGTTACAACAGAGACCATGCCATTGATACATTGATCAATCAAAAAATCATTTCTCCAAAGAAAATCAGATTTGATATTTGACCACAAATTCAAGTCCACTGACAATGCAACATATAAAGAAAAGTATGTAACCCAAAGTCGCAAAGTCAAAGAATTAATAGAAACAGCTAAAAGTGACTACTTATCTAATGTTACTTTCAAAATTGAAAATTGTGATAAAAATTCAATTAATTATTGGACACTCATCAAAGACTTGTTAGGTAAAAACAGTATTTCTTCCATTCCAGTTTTATACCTGCCTAATAATGACATTCCTGCATGCTCCAGCTTGGACAAATCTAATATGCTCATGAAATACTTTGTACAGAAAAATCTGATTGAAAATAATGCAAATCTTACACCTATTTTTCCAAGCAGAACCAATCAAATACTCCAAAACTTCAGAACTTCACAACAAGAGGTCTTTGAACTACTTAACGAGTTGGATGTACATAAATCTCCTGGTCCTGATGAAATCTCAAACAAGATGTTAAAAATGTGTGCCAGCTCTTTTTCATTACCAGTAAGCAATCTATTTAATAGAATACTTGACAAGAATATTTTTCCAGATATTTGGAAGGAGGGAATAGTTATTCCAATTTACAAAAAAGGTGACTCAACCATTGCCTCCAATTATAGACCTGTAACTCTCCTAAGTACTTTGTCTAAAGTTTTCGAACGCATTATTCATAGACATTTGCTTTCTCATCTTCTCGAGCACAATCTCTTGTATAAACTCCAAAGTGGGTTCTTACCTAAACATGGAACAACAAATCAACTAATAAATATTGTACATGATCTTCATCAACATATTGATAATAAAGAGCATATACGCTCAATCTTCTTGGACCTGAGTTCAGCTTTTGACGTGGTCCCGCACAACTTATTGATAACTAAATTAAAAGGCTATGGTTGTAACAACAATTTTATTAATCTCATTAAATCATACTTAAGTGATAGGCGTATCAGAGTCAAGGTCAATAATAACTTATCAGAATGGTCCTCTGTTCAACATACAGATGCTCAAGAATCAGATACACAAATACATAATAACAACCCTCAGATCAAGAATTATAAAATTAACGCAGGAGTTCCTCAGGGTTCAGTATTGGGACCCCTCCTATTTTTGATATATATCAACGACTTACCGGATGGTCTTGTTTCAAAGACATTCATATTCGCGGATGACACCTCACTCCATAATCCTTTTGATGTAAATGAAATATTTCTCGATATTCATGAGCCCATTCAAAGTGATTTGGACCACTTAGACCATTGGGCTGCAACTTGGAAAATGTTATTTAAAGCACAGAAAAGCGCTGATTTGATATTCACTGGACATAGAAACATTAATATTGAACCTCCTCCTCTGAAAATGAACGGGGAAATAGTCCCTAGATGTAATACTCATAAACACCTCGGACTTACTCTTGACCAGCACCTAAACTTCAACGCTCACATTGATCAATTAATTAACAAAGTAATAAGCCTGATGAGGCCCATGAAGAAACTCTGCAAGATCTTGTCAAGCAAGCACCTTGAAACTTTATATAATGCGTACATACTCCCTCATTTTGACTATTGTGACATCATTTACAATAGTGCATCAGATACCAAATTGCAATCTCTTGAACGGTTACATTATAGAGCAGCATGTCTAGTCTCTGGAGCAATCCATGGCTCGAACACTAATAAAGTTCTCTCATCAATAAACTGGAAAACTTTATCCTCTAGAAGAGAGGAACATCTCAAAATATTTATTTTTAAAGCAAGATATAATAACTTTCCTCCTTTCATTTGTAATCTTGTCAGGTCCTATGAGAATGATATACAAGTGCGCTCATTAAGGAGCCACAGGGACTATAAGATTCCCCTTCAAACAAGCGCTTTGGCTAAGAAATCTACAATTTTTAAAGGTATGGCCCTTTGGAATAACCTTCCACCAGATTATAGAATTGGTCAGCCAATTTCAAGATTTAAAAGAATAGTAAGAGGTGATGGAAGCCATGCTTCTACCCTATCAACGTCAAAACTAAAAAATGCCATGCCTCGCTACCTAGAAATTCCTCTAAACCGACTCAGGTCCGGACTTCTCTTGCAAGCTCACCTCCATGCACACAACTTTGAACGGGTTGCTAATCCTAAATGTTTATGTGACAATATAAACCAGACAACTTTACATCTGTTGAAATGCCCTCTGCTGACAGAACAGAGAACAACACTACTTGCAGGACTGGAGACGATAGGGATCCGTACCCACTATGATGGACTTAATATGCATGATCAATCCCAGTTCTTACTTTTTGGAGATAATAAATTTCCAGTAGATGTCAATGAGAAACTAATGAACATAGTAGCATATTATATCCACCAGGGTCTAGATCTTTTGGACATGTAATCGATTACAACATGTTACAACTGAAATCCCTCTGGCCAAGGGAAAAAACCTTACACATCTTTGTGATATACGAGTGTAGTGTGATGATATTTTATTGACTTTTTCTTTCATCTATTTTAACAATAACATGACATAAAAATAACTTATTATGTAAAAATTTAATAACATTCCTTTGGATTTCACTCAAAATTGCCGACAATGTCACTAGACTTTGGCAATTGTTTAAGTTTGTACAGCTGTATTTTATGGAATATAATAAAGATGATTAATAAAAAAAAAAAAAATATTTGACCTTACCCTGCAAAGATGTGAGAAAGAATATGACATCTCACACAAATCCAAACAAAGTCCTGTGATGTATCCCTACTGAAACCAACAAACCAAATCTTCAAGGCATTTGAGTTGCTGTCGAGTCATCACTTCTTAATATTAACCACAGTATATAAATGTACAAGTAAAAGATCCTAAATTTTCCCAAAACTACTGAATTAGTCGCCTTTCAATAAGACTTAAAGTCTTGATATTTAGGTGTTTCTTTGGATTAAGAAGGAATTACCATAATGTTTATTAACATATTATGCCCCTAAAACAGACATCATAAGCTATCATAAGCACCAGTTTTCAGTCAAAGCATGGGTAACGTTCTCATTGGATTTGGGTCTCAAAATTTGGTGGATATTTGGTGTATGGGTTTTTAGTATTATGAAGTAATAAAGAGTCCTCAAAAATGTTTATTATAAAAACATATCGTACCAGGAAAATGGAGACAGCATTTTATTGAAAATCGGAAAAAATGTGAAAATCACAATTTTTCAGTCAAACCATGGGTAAATTTCCCATGGGATTTGGGTCTCAAAATTTGGTGTATGGGTTCCTAGTATTATGAAGTAATAAAGAGTCATCCAAAAATATTTATTATGAAAAAATAGAAACATATTATACCAGGAAAATGGAGACAGTAATCTATTGAAAATCGGACAAAACTGTGAAAATCACAATTTTTCAGTCAAAGCATGGGTAAATTTCACATGGGATTTGGGTCTCAAAATTTGGTGTTTGGGCTTCTAGTATTATTAAGTAATAAAGAGTCCTACAAAAATGTTTATTATGAAAAAATAGAAACATTTTATACCAGGAAAAAGGAGATGGCAATTTATCGAAAATAGCAAAAAATCATGAAATAACCGAATTTTTCAATCGAAGCGTGGGTAAATTTCCCATGGGATTTGGGTCTCAAAATTTGGTGTGCAGGTGTTTTAGGTCATGAACAACAGTAAGTCAAATGAGGAAGATGATCCGAAAGAAAGTTGGTTTTTCGCCATATTTTGGACCACCCTAGTCAGGATACACCTGAAAATGGCACAACTGTTTTAAAAACACCACACAATCAAGAAACCATTGTAATGTCAGATCTTGAATTTAAGTTTCAAGTACATTGTTTTTCATTTTAAATATGCAAACCTGCTCATTTTATCATGATATCTTGAATGCTTAATGAACAACAAATGTAACATGTACCTCATCAAACACAGCCCTCAGTCCTTGTATTGACTTAGCTACAGGGAGTGGAGTGTCTTTGGCGTACACCTCCTCATTACGCTTAATCAGCTCATTGGCAATCTCTTCTGCTTGCTTTACTTGAGCTGCACTAAGAGCTCCCTATAATATAAAATGGGAAATGAAGATGGAATGCCATAAATAAATTGTTTCCATTCAACTTCTGGAGTGCCCTTACTTGAAAAAGTCAAAACCTGGCAAATCAGCCTTTAAATGGGTAATCATAATCAGGCCGTGCCTTAGATTATGAAATCTTCAAATAAATGTATAATCAAAATAGCATATAAATGAACATATCATTGAAGCAAAATACAGTATTGATGGATGGCCAATTTTTTTTCTCATTTAAATACGCCATAGAAGCAAATGTTTTCAGATCTCAAGGTTAATTCACTTTTAATATATTTCACTCTAAATGTGAATAATCTTACCTTGGCAGTGAAGTCAAATCTTAGTCTATCCGGTGCTACCAGTGAGCCTCTTTGATCAGCTTCCCCTAGTACATTTCGCAAGGCAAAGTTCAACACATGAGTTCCTAAAATGAAATCAAACACAGATTATGCAGTTTTCGATGATCAAACAAAATGAAAGAAAATAAAAATTGCAGCCAATTTGAATTTTGAGATGGCAAACTGCATCATTGCCAATTCAACTTTAGCCAAAGCTGATAACTGGTACATAATCTAATTTTCTAAAATAACACTTTTGCAAATATGGCTGCCAATTGAACAAGTAAAGGCATTGACACGCAAAATGCCACTACCTGCCATTTGTTACAGATACCAAACACCAAACAACACTGCAAAAAGTTAGAGATTATATCAATATGTTATTACTTGTGGTGGTGACGTAATAGAGTGGCAATATTAGAAATTTCTTCAAAAGTAAAGGTCACCTGCCTATATGACATCACCCTTTAAGATATACTTAATATATTTGAACCAAATCTGTCAAATGGTATTTGAGTTATTGTACAAGTTAAAAATGGATGGACAAATGGAAGGACATAAAAATCCTAATTACAGATTACTAACCTGTATGGTTATTCATAATTGGTCGTCTTCTATCGAGATCTACATTCAGTTTCATGGTGTCTCCAACCTTTAGATTGCCTTCTATGTTTCCAATATGTAACACATAGCCACCTCGCACCTGAACATTCTTCACGGAAAACTCAACCTCCTATAATTAAAATGAAAATATCAATATGAGGATTAGATCAAGTTGGAACAGTGGTAGTTTAAATGTCCAACTGGGTGATCACACCATGATGGTTATCTGCACTGATTAATATTGATGCAAATAAATATTTTCAAAACGCTAAATGTCTGGTTCAAACAAGGCAAGACATTTTTCTAAACTCAAAAATCAAACATGTCAATTTGATCAATATGTTTCGCTCTTGAACGAAACAAATAAGGACACAAACTGAATATTTTCTCAATGCGATGATAAAAAATGCAGATGTTACATACCTGCCAACCTCTCAGAGAAAAAAACAGGAGTTTTTTTTAAAAAAAACAGGAGAATCCGGGAGATATTTTGCAAAAAACAGGAGAAAAACAGGAGACTTTTACTGAAAAAAACAGGAGAAAACAGGAGACTTCTTTTAAAAAACAGGAGAAAACAGGAGGTTTCTTTTAGAAAACAAGTTACCATCTAAAAAACAGGAGATTTTCAGTCTAAACAGGAGATTTTCTTTAAAAACAGGAGAAAACAATTTATTTTAAAAGCATGAGAAAACAGGTTATCTTTAAAAACAGGAGAAAACAGGATATTTTCCTTAAAAACAAGAGAAAACAGGATATTTTCCTTAAAAACAAGAGAAAACAGGATATTTTCTTTAAAAACAGGAGAAAACAAGAGACTTCTTTATAAAACAGGAAGTTTCTCTTGGTAAAGATACTAAGTAAAAAACAGGAGATCTTCTGTCCAAACAGGAGAGGAGGAGGATTGGCTCCCAGAATGCAACATCGATACTCTGTCGATATTCTTGATGTCATGATTGCAAAATTCGAATTCAAACAGCCGCTATTTTATTCACTTCAACATTTGTATCGTTAATTTTGGTCTTATTTTCAAACGAAAATGCAGTTTGAATTCGAATTTTGTAGTCACGACATAGGGAGTATCGGTATCGATGTTGCATCCTGGGAGCCAATCCTCCTTGGTCCAGGATGGAAAAACCAAAAAGCTTACCGTAAATGTGACTGATAAATCTCAATCTTTGACAAACTTCAATAGTAAAATCATTCAAACTTATCTAACATGATTTCTCTTAATGTATAGATCTATACATGCTCAATCTTGGTAGGCTTACGCAATCGTGCATAAATAGACAAAATTATTCTTACCCCGTTTCACGGACATACTTGCGCAGATTCTTATCACCTCCACTCAGGAGATAATCTACGTAATACGCATGCGCTGGGATCGTAATAAAGGATGGATTCGCTCTTACTGATTAAAATTGTTGCGCATGCGCTAATTTCCTTGTTGTTGATTGGACATTTATATTAGATTAACTTTGTTTTTCATGATTAGATGTCGCTGGAGTTAATTGACTTTTATGTAAGATACTGGAGACGATCGATGAGTACTCGGATTCAAGTTAAAAATCGGGAGGAAGGAGGAAAAAACGGGAGGACACAGACAAAATCGGGGGATTTTTACCTAAAACATGCGAAGTTTTTTGTAGATATCGGGGGAAATTGGGAGAAAAAATCGGGAGATGATGAAAAATTACAAAATTAGAAAATCGGGAGATGGCAAAATTGCGCAGGAGATGAGTTAAAAAAACAGGAATCTCCCGATTTAAATCGGGAGTTGGCAACTGTGATGTTATATTATAATTTGGAGATTTGTTTATATTTTGGTTCCCTTCAAAGAAAAATCTGTACATGTTGACATATCACTTGGTGAATTATTGATTCATAAATCTGGTGTCCCATATGTTCAGTTTCTACAATGGGAACAAACTTTCCCCAAAATCCAAACCAGCTAGTGACTCAACTCTCATGTGCAATTTAACATATTTCTTATGTGCGATTTAACATATTTCTTATATAATTGTGCGATTTAACAGATTTCTTATACTGTGCGATTTAACAGATTTCTTAGCAATCTCAAATGTAGCCTCAATTCCACTTTACATTCAAATGATAAATGAATGTAAGCTACTTATATGAGAGAAGCGAAAGATTGAATATCAAAGGTCGGATGTCAATGAAATTTTTCAAAGTTAGAATGAAGAAAGAGTTAAGGTCTTAGGAAGGGTAGATCAAACGTACCTCATCATTCTCTTTAACCATAAAGCCTTCATCGTAAATCTGCCCACCCTGTTCAGCATAGAAACATGTGCAATCCAGCAGGACGCCACACTCCTGTCCAGAGGTCACTTCCTGTACAAATTCTTTATTGCAGCGCAACGCCTTTACAACACCAGTACACGTGTCAAATGCTGAAACCAAAATATTAAATCTTAAAAATGTTTTCATCAACATAATTGTTGCAGCATAAAACATTTACGACACCTGTACATATGTAATAAACATAAATAATATTTTATTGCAATCGTTGATATACATACATGTATTTTTAGATTAATATTTTAAAATCTATGATTAAATAATTGTTTAAGATTCATAGCGGGTGACCCATTTAATGATTTGATTTAATCAGTCGCAATATATTTTGGATTTCTTGCCGTCATGTTTCTGGGGTCGTGAATTTGTATGATACAAGAATTTATCTGGATAATTTTTATCCTTTAGAATTATTGATCCCGATGAATATTTGGTGAATTGATACGATCCTAGAATGTTGGGGAAATCCCCAAGATTTATCCAAATTACATTGGAATTCAAATAAAAAAATTAATCCCCCTATGTAGACAAATTTTCTTTTGACACAAAACGTTGCTACCAACATTTTACACAATATATCCTTTCTTTCTGTGGTTCATATCAAAACATTGAATCTTTTATAGAATTAATGATTTAAAATAATTGATAATGATTTATGTTTAAAAATAAATCAGTTTACACAAAAAACAAAAGTACAATGAATAATGTAATAATATTCTTTATTACAAATAATTTGTTTGCTTTATATTGATTTTAAATAGAAATAATGCATTTATTTATACATGTATCTGTGTATCTTTGCCAGACAAGCTTTGTCTGAGGTTAAAGCTACATTATTAATACACAGAGGGAAATAGGACACATATCCACTATGAGGCAGAATGTATTCACCTTGCTATTCATGTATGCAACAATCATATATGTAAGGGCTCACTTACAGCCAAAATGCACGAAAGCAGATATCAAGAAATTGAAGGCCGATCTGATTGAAGCATTCGACAGCAAATTGCAAGTGATCAAGAATGATATCAAAGCCGAACTAGCCAATGAAATTGCCAGTCTTAATGAAGATCTCACAGAGGAAATCAATCAAAATGAAGTAAAAATGAATGCACTAAAGGAAGAACTAATTGTGCTGAAGACACAACTGACAAAAACAACAACTGAATTAAGTGATTGTGCATGTGAGAGGAAAAGACGTAAGTCCTATGTGATTTGTTTTATTCTCCATTAAGAGATTTATGTTAGTCTCAACATACTTCTCCGGAGTTAGTTACTGCAAGGGTGGGATATCACGTGGGGTTAAGTCTTGAGAGACCATATGTGTTTGTTGAAGCTATATACATGTATTAGTTGCATATATAGGAAAAACATATTTTTAATTTCTTCGTTCACAAATTTTGTAGCAGCTCAAAAAGTATTCAACCTTAAATGTAACATGCAGACTTTGTCAGACTTTGTCTATTTACAGAGAGGAGTTTAATCTACTATGCTGGCCCTTACATCTATACATTTGCTGATGCAAAGGCATACTGTAAAAGTAAAGGTCATAAGATAGCCACGCCAGAGCAATTAGAAGCAGCTTTTGCCTTAGGGATGGAAGAATGTGCTTGGGGATGGTTAAAAGATGGCAGCGTTAGATTCCCAAAGCAGATGCCATATACAAATGGATGGTGTGGTACAAGAGGAATAAACAACCTTGAAAATCCTAGTCAATCATCAGACAAGTTTGGAGTCTATTGTGCTACAAATGGAGGTCCAGACTAAAAATTTGAAAATGATGATGAATTCACAGAATAAATTCATGTGAACTTCAACGTAATTTTGTTCCTGTTCAATTTTAAGAAGTATGATTAAATCTGGTATATATACTCAACAGAGCATCCGAGCTCTAATCGGGAGGTTGTGGGTTCATTTCCCGCCGAAGTAGAGTGACTTTTTCACATCAGCCCTTAGCATAGAATTTGTTCCTATGTTTCAAATAAACTATTAAAATTCCTAGTCGGCCGGGAATGGTGCATGGGAAAGACCATGTGACATCATGAATAGTGAGATTGACAACCTGGAAAGACAGGTAAACCTTACGAGGGTCCAGGAAACTGGGCATGTAAGTCATGGCAGAGACACCATATATGCAATTTTGATGTGGAAAAGCTGGTTGGCTCCTTAGCTCAACCGGTAGAGCATCCCAGATTTAATCGGGAGGTTGTGGGTTCATTTCCCGCCGAGGTAGAGTGACTTTTTCACATCAGCCCTTAGCATAGGATTTGTTCCTATGTTTCAAATAAATTCTCAACTAATTATATTATCTTCGCCCAAGTTGTAAAGCCAAAATATCCTGTCCAACAGTCATATCGCGAAAAGGACAATGATAGCACAGTTATTCAAAACTAGAAAACAGCAACTCCACGGATTAGCAAATCCCATGGAACAAAACATATTTTATAAAATAACTCACTATCTTGTACACTGCATGATAGAAATAGCCAGAAAATAGTAGAGTAGTATTGTCTCATTTTATCAAAATCTAAAACCATGATGTGACATGATGCCATTTCATATACAGTAAGTTTTTAATTTGATGGCCGTTTTAATTTGACAGATTTGGCAGATTGATGACTGCCAAATTAAGTCTTTGCCAATTTTTTTAATAAATCCAGGATTAAATTCTTTCAGCAGAGGTCTTCTGACCATAAAGATTTAAGGTGTTTTGTGAAAGGTCAATGGTTATTTCTTTCATTGAATGCCTTGTTCAGATTAATCAAATCTTTTTAAAGATATCCAATTTCGGATGTAATCCTTTATGCTACCAACATTTTAAACTGGATCCTTTCTTTCTATTGTTCAAGCCAAATCATTGAATCTTTATTAGAATCATGATGTGAAACAAATGACAATGATTTAATTTCACAAATTATTTACCACAAAATAACATAATATTTGAATACAATTTATCAATGATGTGATAATTTAATTAAGCTTATATTCTCAATTACAAATGGCTTTATTTGTTTACATTATATTGCTTCTAAATTGAACAAGGCATCTCATTTACATCTGTGTATCTTTGCAAAGCAAGCTTTGAGAGAGATTAGTTACATAATTTTTTAATAGCAAGGAAGTTCACCATACATCCACTATGAAACAGCAGGTAATCTTTATGATATTCATATATGCAGCAATCATATATATTACAACTGCACAGCAGAAATGTACAAAATCAGATATAAAAAATCTGAAAATTGATATGAATATTGTGAAAACAGATGTTATTAAAGTATATAATAAACTGGACCAGATCAAGAATGACATCAAAAGAGAACTGAGCGATAAAATTAACCAGCTGACTGAAAGTATGAATAATAAATCTGTTGATCTGAATCAGAAACTTGCTGAAACATTCAACAATAAACTAGTCGATACGAAGAATGACATCAAAGGAGAACTGAACAATGAAACTGACAAGATGTCTGAAAGTATAAATCAAAGTTTTGATGTTCTGAATAAGAAACTGTGTGAAAAGATAGATTCGCAAATGGAGCAAATAAATCAGAATGAAGAAAAATTGAGAACACAGAAGGAAGAACTGACTGAAGCTTTCAACAGTAAATTTGTAGAGATTAAGAATGACAGCAATGCCAAACTAGGCAATGAAATACGTAATCTAACCGAGAAACTTACCAAGGAAATAAATCAAAATGAAGAAAATCTAAGAACACAGATGGAAGGACTGACTGAAGCATTCAACAATAAACTAGTTGAGATAAAGAATGACATTAAAGCTGAACTTACTAAGGAAATCAATCAAAATGAAGATAAGCTGAATGCGATGAAGACCCAAAATCAAGGAACTCTTTCCACACTGACTGCTCAACTGACAAAATCAACTTTTGAACTGAGTAAATGTGCATGTGAGAGGCAAAGACGTAAGTCCTTAATGTATTTTGTTTAATTCTCAATGTTGATTACGATATGCATGTTATTGTAAGATGTGTAACACTAATCTTTCAGACATAGACCTAATTAGGCCAACACATAGGATAAAGTATGTGAGCACAGAGAGAACAAGCTCTCTTTTATAAACAGAAGTCAAACAAAAGAGTAGGGTTAAAGTCCTCAATTATTTGCAGTTATATTTTAGTTGCATAAAAGGGTTAATAAATAAGTATACAATGTGTTCAGTCTTAAATGTAACATGCAGATTCTTGTCTATTTACAGAGAGGAGTTTAATCTACTATGCTGGCCCTTACATCTATACATTTGCTGATGCTGTGGCATACTGTAAAAGTAAGGGTCATAAGATAGCCACTCCAGCCCAAGTAGACGCAGCTTTTGCCTTAGGGATGTCTAAATGTTCTTGGGGATGGGTAAAAGATGGAAATCTTACATTACCACAACAGATGCCATATACAAACAACTGGTGTGGTGAAGAAAGAGGAGTAAACTATCGTCTGAATAAAAATCCTTTGAGCAAGTTTGGAGTCTATTGTGCAAGAAACGGAGGACCATAATTATCTAATTTAATGAAGACTATTGTAAGAATTTATATAAATGTAACATTGTTTTTAAATAAAGCTATACTCTTTGGAGGTTTAGTCTATTACAATACAGCAATCTGATTTTAATACTTCACATTCAGAGGCTACATGTACATCAAGGTCCAGGTTAACTGACCAAGATAGTCAATCTACCAGATAAAAAGATCATGCTGAATTCTGCGAGTGAAATTAGTGAATTCTGCAAGGGAGCCCGCAGAATTCCTCAGTAGGTGGAATTACACCTACGATGTAAAAGCGCTTTTTAAAATCCTATCGGGTTTCGACCCGCCTTTAGAGTCAGGTGTAATCACGATTGCGGATTTAGAAAAGCGCTTTTGTAATCCTCCCAGACCCCTAGTCATTAAAAACCGCTTTCACACCCAATGGCGGTTTAACGTGTAGGTGTAATACCGATTGGTTTTCAAGGCGCTTTAACTCGATTTTACACTGAACGAAAACTATATTTGCGCATGAGCATCAAGCATGTTATTGATTTCCGGTGTGGAGGAAACTTCAAAAAACAATATTTTGAGCACCATAGTATTATGATAATAGCTCTTCTCGATCACTTTGACGCTCACTGGGCCAAAAATCTAAAGTCTTATATTTATACGCCCATGGGCGTATAAAAAATGATAAAATAACGGACGAAATTACCCCTTCTTTCAGTTATACGCCCAGGGCTTATATACGAGAAATTCCGGTACTATTGTAGATTGGGGAAGGCGAGGGGAGGGGATGATTGAATAGTTGAAATTACCTCTCTACAATGAAGTCAAAAAAATGACGAGATCTTTGTCTTGTCCACATCGTTCGTTCCTGTCCCATATTACCAAGGATGCCAAACAGCCCCAACAAAAGTACCATCTTCATTTTACTGGATCTCTCTTGGATCTCTCCTAACGACCGAGCTTCTCTCTTTGCGCCCTTGTGCATTGTTTTCCATGCTTTCTTTAGCACATATTTGTTAACGCCAGAGGTAGATTGAATACGATTTAAGAAAAAAAGGAACATACAGTATCGGATCATTTTGAATCTCCAGAGATGGCGCTACGGTTGAAAGTGTATATATCTAAATAGCAGATTTTGATGCAAATGCGATGGTTGATGGCAAATTTTTGTCTTAAATCAGTCTAAAAGCGCTTTAGAAAAATCAAGTGTAATCCCGAAAAGTTGTCTTCAAGGCGCTTTTAAAATTCTGGTGTAATCAGGATTGCGGTTTTCTAGCCTACGTTACCCAAAACGCCTTGAAAACGCCTTTAGCCATGAAATAGGTGTAATTCCACTAAGTGTTTTTTATTGAAAATTAAGACATAGATAATAGGCTAATAGTTAACGCCCCAGTATCAAACTTGTTAAAAATGAAAGTACCACCTGTTTAAGCATTTTCATTGCAAATTCACGTTTAAATCAACATATAATCCAGTGGAGTTATATCGGGTGTCCCAAAAAAGTGAATTGCTTTTTGACAAGTGTTTTCTCAGCAACTGATTATTCAAATTCATTGAAACTTTTTTATTCAGTAGCCTTAGAGTATCATTAGCAAATTGTACAAATATGAAAAAAGATTGGTTACATATTATGTGAGAAATAACAAATTCAAAAATGCATGTCAAAAAATCTGAAATTAATGGAAAAGCCACATATTTCAGTCTGAAAGAAGACGTTTTCAAAGCAGAAATGCTTTTGTGAATTTTTTTCCTCGATATCGCCTCCCATAACATAATAATTATTCCATCCCTTAATGCATGTTGGATGGTGTAGTGCATTTTTGTTCACAAGTCTATTTACAGTAACATGACTTTAACTCTTGCCCTTAATTTCTTACTGATTGATCTTCCACCCAAAACTTTCACCTTAATACAGTTTACAATAGTAGCCTTATCATTTATCACTTAAAGGTATTGTTTATCCATCACAACTAAAATTTTGGACGGAATATATTTTGGAAACAGAGAACAATGAAACAAATCAATAAACTTGACACACAAATAAGCTGTTTTTTGAGACTAAAACTGATTGACAGATACAATCACCTGATAGCAGGCACAAACGCTGTGAAAGTCTCATTATGCACAGCTCTAATATTGGATTTTTTGATATGTATTTTTGAATATCTCATAAAATATGTAACCAATCTATTTCATATTTGTATAACTTGCTAAGGATAATCCTAGGCTACTTTATAGAGATTTTCAATAAATTTGAATAATCAACTGCTGAGAAAACACTTGTCAAAAAGCGATTCACTTTCTGGGACACCCAATATATATTTACAACTGCTTACTAATTTTTCTCAATGAACATCTAACTGCAAAATATCATACTCAGAAGAAATAGCCTATAGAAACATCGAAAGTTTTCAATTCAAAGTTTACATTCTCTATGCGCATGCACGTTAATCTTAATTACATTTTGAGATGCTTTTTGATTGGTCGATCAACATGCTTTTACTCATGCCAAGAGCGTGTGTTTACAAATATGGTTTTGTGATAGTCCTGACAAACAGTTTGATTCATGAATGATGCGAATCTCGAAAGGGTAAAATATTAAAAATAGAGGCAAAAGAAACAACACACACATTTATTTTTCGAATAATTTGTGAGTGATTTTTGCGGTGAATTCAAAAGCAAAGAGTTAAATTACTAAGGTTAGGCTGACTATATTCATACTTTCAGAAAATATGCCAATTCTATGAATATTGATCAAAATTAATGATTCTACAATCATGCCCATAAGGGCCAATTCCATCTGTGCTTTGCGTAACAAGAATTCACACCATGGCCTTTAGTATGAGTTGTGGAAAACTCAGTCAACCACCCTGAAATACTTTACGCAAACATTCAAATTATGTTTTGCCTGAACAGGAGATGGAATCGGGGACGTATTGCAAAATTGGTTCATGCACTACCACTGAGCTGCATGGGTGGACTGTTACATTATACCAGGTATATCATGAGATTATTGTTAAACAAAATGCTCATACTTGAACTACATATACAAGTTTGTAGATAACATAACGTAATGTAACGTAACATAATGTAACATAACATAATGTAACGTAATATAACATGTAGACCATGGTTTTCAATAAGTGATTGATGAACAACCTTCACTTTACAAATTACTTTACCAGCATCTTTATTTCAAATAAAACAGTTTATTGTGCATTTATAAATAACATAAAAATTGTGGCTTAATTGCTAAAATAATACTTTAACTATAAACATGGTGATTTATATATACTGCCTTTAAATTGTAATAGAAATATCATTTTTAGTTTTTATGCATCTGTGCAAGGCAAGCTTTGAAGTAGATTAGTTGCATCATTTTATACACTGTGAGGGAGTTCACCACACGTTCACTATGAGGCAACAGGTAACCTCTATGTTGTTCATATATGCAACAATAATATATGTTGCGACCGCACAGCAGAAATGTACAAAATCAGATATCAAAAAAACTGAAAATTGATATGAATATTGTTAATACAGAAGTGCTAAAAGTAAACAGTAAACTGGACCTGAAATTTAATGATCTGTATGAGAAGCTGTGTGAAAAGATGGATTTGCAAACAGAGCAAATAAATCAAAATGAAGAAAAGCTAAGGTTGCTGAATACAGAAGTACTTAAAGTAAACAATAAACTGGACCAGATCAAAAATGACATCAAAGGAGAACTGAATGATGAAATCGATCAGCTGACTGGAAGTATTAATCAAAAAATTTGATGATCTGAATAAAAGGCTGATTGCAGCATTCAACAGTAAACTAATTGAGATGAAGAATGACGTCAAAGTTGAACTTGCAGCGGAAATCAATCAAAATGAAGATAAGCTGAATGCTCTGAAAACCCAAACTCAAAGAACCCTTTCTACACTGACTGCTCAACTGACAAAATCAACAACCGAACTGAGTGATTGTGCATGTGAGAGGAAACGACGTAAGTCCAATGTGATTTGCTTTGTTCTCCATTAATTTTGATTGACATGCAGTATAAATATATACTAATCTTTTAGTCATAGTTACTCTAAATGTAGCCTGACACATGGGGTTAACTCCTACACAATTCCTTTCAGTTGAGAAGTAATGTGTTAGTTGCATAAAAGAGAGAAAACATTCTCTCGCCTGATGCTCATTTTTGTCTATTTACAGAGAGGAGTTTAATCTACTATGCTGGCCCTTACATCTTTACATTTGCTGCTGCAGTGGCATACTGTAAAAGTAAGGGTCACAAGATAGCCACACCAGCCCAATTAGAAGCAGCTTTTGCCTTAGGGATGGAGAAATGTGCTTGGGGATGGTTAAAAGATGGCAGTGTTAGGTACCCACATCAAATGCCATTTACAAATGGATGGTGCGGTCATCGAGGAGTAAACACTCATTCAGATATAAATCCATCAAAGACTTTTGGAGTCTACTGTGCAACAAACCGAGGTCCAGATTAAAAATGTGAAAATGTTGATTAAA